CCGCCGGTCTCGCCCCGCGCTGCTGGGGGAGAGTGGATGCCCGTTCCCTGATGAGATGCAGGCTGCCACCCCAGCGGATTTAATCTGGTGGATTTAGCCCAAGGAGAATTAACGCTGTCACTAATCACATTGGCAATATTAGTGCTCTCAAGCGTGAATCAACCTGAGCTGGGTCGCTGCCAGCATGCAGGCGGCTGGGCCCCTCGGCACGGGGTCAACTGGCTGCGGCGGCAGAGCTGGGCAGCAATTCATGTTTTTCCTTTGCGCTTAGAGGGGGATTTTTGCATTAAGGAGGGGACGAGCTGCAGCAGATCAGACTTACACCCCAAATCCAGCCACCTTTTCCCCCTCGCTGTGCAGGGCCAGCAAAGCACAGCCATGCAAAGCAGTGGGGAAAGCCCGTTCCTTCCCGCAGCCAAGCCTGAGGCCAGGTCGGGGCACGGTGAGCATCTGAGGTTACAGCATCTCAGCAGGGCTGGGCAAGAGATGGGCAGGAGCAGGATTCACACCACTCCAGTGGAAAGGCAGCAGCAAAGAGGGCCTGCAGGGATCCTGTGGCTCAGCGAGGGGATGCTGGGAGGGGAGGGGGCATCTGCCTTTCCCCTCCCGAGGCCAGCCTGCCACGCCAGGACACAGCAGCAGCCCACTGCCCCTCCTGGCAGGGAAATGAGAACATCTGGGGGACACATACCCGCCCGTCCAGCCCAGCACGACAAGCCCCAACCCCACAGCAGGCCCCACGCAGCACCCAGGCGTCCGGACCCACAGCCTGGGGTCAGCACGGCAAGGCCATACGTCACCCAGCTCCCTGGCACGAGCAAGGGGCTGCAGGACAGAGCTGGCCCCGTGGGATGGGGGTGCAGGGAGTTTCTCTGCAGGGCTAACCCATTCCTTGCCTCTCGGACAAGCAGCTGCACCTCGCCTCCGTCCGGTGCCGCACCGCGCACCGATGCCACCTCCCCAGTGCTCAGCGCCTCAGCCCCGGCGTTCTCAGCCAGCAGCCAGCGCAGCGTGGCACAGCTCAGCGGGACATCTGGGGACAAAAGGAGAGAAAGCAGAGCTTGTTACACCAATGAACACCATCCCGGCAGCTCAGCAGCCCCACTCGGGCCAGAGCGATGCAGGACGGAGCGGCACATGCCTGGTGCAGCCCCTGCGAGGCCAGGGCTGATGCTGGGGCCGTTCCCCTCCCCGCTGAGACAAGCCGAGCTCAGTCATGCGACTGCCATCGCAAACACATGCTGGGCTGATGGCTGCACTGGGTCACGCAGCCCTCCTCACCCAAGGAAGGGGCTGCTGCCCACCCCAGGCTGTGACAGTGCCATCCTGGCCTCTCCTGGGATGGCCACAAGCCAGGATGCAAGCGCTGCTCCCCATGGAGATACCCCAAGAGCTCCCAGGTTGCTCCTCTCTAGGGACCCACCTGAGTCAGAGGTTTTCAGCGCGTTTTTCAGCAGCTCCGAGGACACCCTGATGGATGCCGCCGAGGGGGGCAGGTTTTCCTCTCCTGGGGCGTGCGGCAGCTCACTGGCTTTCACCCCCTCGGGTTCAGTCTGCTCCCGGGATACTTTGAGGAAGGTCTCCACAGGGTCTGGGGGGGCAGGGGGGGCAGCCCCGGGGCGGGGAGGCTCTTGGGGGGGCTGCTCTCGAAACGGAGGCACTGGAGCATGTCAATGGTGCATTCGCTGAGGGGCAGGCAGATCCCCTCTCTGTCTGGGGAGAGGATGGGCGGGGCATCTGGCAGGAGATCGTCCAGGGCCTCGGAGGAGTCGGAGCCGCTGCCCAAAATATCCCGTAAACTGTAGTAGAGGGCACAGGAGATGGTCAGAGGCAGGTCCAGCTTGGTGTCCGCAGCGGAGCCGAGGGGCAGCGTCAGCTCCCTTTTGTTCCCAGGGAGGAGCTGGTCGATGGGGAAGGTGAAGGTGGTGGCTGAATCCACAGACTCCTCCTCTAAGGCACAGGGGCTGGCCATGAGCTGAACACAGAGGGTCCAGCCCTCCTCCAGGCTGTACTCGCTGCAGTTCTCCAGCAGGCAGGAGATGGTGACGGTGTCTTGGAGCAGGAGGCAGCTCCAGTTGGCAGTGACAGTGCAAGCAATGGGCTTCTGGCCTTCTTGGCTGGACAGCAAAGCTGCGCTCACGTTCATCACCTGGTTCAGGCTGGCCAGGGCTCGGTTCTTCTGGTCCACCGCCTTCTTCAGGAAGGAAACTCTGCAAGGACAAAGCGTCGGTGCTGAAATAGCAGGAGGGATGGTAGCCGGGATGCCGGGTCAGCAGCGGGAGCGTGGCAGAGGCCAGAGGCAAAGGCTGCTGCAGGAAGGGCACTGTGCCACCGCAGCAGACGAGCTGAGCAGCCCCTGGCACGAACCCAGCACCCTGAGCCACCCCAGGAACTCCCCGGCTCCCTCCCCAGGTCAGCCAGGATCCACGCTGCCTGCAGAGCCGCTCTGCCCACGAGTCCCCATCAGCTGAGCCGACCCTGAGGAGCAGCTCCAGCCAGCCAGACCCCAGGAATCCCCCTGTAAAGAGAGGGGGACTCGTCTGTGTATCCCCCCAGACACAGATGGCCGTGGAGGCCGGAGGCACGCGCCTGCCCTGCCTGTTACCACGGACTTGGCAAGCGTGGCGGGGCGTCTGGGAGCACCTGGCACCCTGCCTCTCCCACCTTCTGCCGCTGAGGCTGTAAACACCAGCCCGCCTGCAGCGCCGGAGCCGGCTGCACCCAGGGGAGGGGGACAGCCGGCAGGGCTGCCCTGAAACACTATTTTTATCCTACTGAGGTTGGGGAGGGTTCCCAGCCAGGCTCCTGCACTCTGGAAAGGTAAACGTTGGAGCGGTTACTGCCAGAGACCTCGTGGCCAACGCACAAAACCCCAAGTCAGTGCCTGCAAACCCGGCAGCTCGCAGAGCAAGAGCACAAGCGCGCAGTGCCGAGCGGCCCTGGCCTTTACCTCTCCGAGGTGTTGCCTATCCCAGACAGCAGCTCCTTAATCCTCCGGCCGGCCTCAGCGGGGGTCAGCCCCACGTCAGCGTCCTCGGGGCTGCATAAGCCGCAGGGCATGAGGCGGCCTTTGGCAGACA